CGGCCTTCCCCTGCGGCGGCGGCGGCGGCGGCGGCGGCAAGATGGGCGAGAACAGCGGCGCCCTGAGCGCGCAGGCGGCCGTGGGGCCCGGCGGGCGCTCCCGGCCCGAGGTGCGCTCGATGGTGGACGTGCTGGCGGACCACGCGGGTGAACTTGTGCGCACCGACAGCCCCAACTTCCTCTGCTCCGTGCTGCCCTCGCACTGGCGGTGCAACAAGACGCTACCCGTCGCCTTCAAGGTGAGTGACACCGACCCTGCGCCTCCGGGCGTCTCAGCTGCAGGAGCTAGGGCCCCAGGAAGGGAGGGGAGGAGACGTGCCCGCCACCCCGCGGCGAGAGCCCAGCAGCCGGGCCAAGGGCGCTTTCGTTCTCTTTGCGCGCTCTGCCGGACTTCGGTGTTCCCTCTTGGATGCACCCGACACGGATGACTTTTAGGAGATTTGCCCTCTCCACCCTTCGGGAGCCCTGCGGGGAGATGCTGATGCGGAAACGGGCAGATAGGGCTTCGCTCTTCCCCAACCCGGATCCCTCGGACACAGCCCTGCGGCAGCAGGGTAGAGGAGCCCCGGGACCAGGGCGAGGACAGTGGAGGTTGGTGCAGAGGGTGGAGGGGGCCTACTCTCCATTGCCAGCACCCTTCCTCCTGCACCGCTTCAGAAACACTTCCTACTTAACACTGTCAACCTCTGGCTTCTGAAATTTTACTCTAAGGCCAAGATGGGGGCACTGAACCCTAAACGGCTGCGGCCAGGATCCCGAATGTCAAGCAGAAATTGGGGGTGCTCCCACCCCTGGCAGCCCCCAGTCATTCAGAGGAGCTTTTTCTCTTTACTGGGGAGTAGGCGACTGTTTCATTTTCATTTTTTTAAGGGGGCAGCGAGATGAAACGAAAACGCCTTGGTTTTCCCCTAAACCTCTCACAGCTGCCGTGAGAAAGGGCAAGGCAGGAAGGGCCAGCCGCTGGGGGCGGCGGGTGCCTGAGGTGGCTGGAAACAGCGGCTCCTGGCAGCTGAGGCCGTCCTTGGTCCCATTAAGACGACTCCAAATTGGAAAAAAGGATGAGTGGCTCTTTGAGGTCTCCCGGGTGACATCTTAAAATACCAGTGGGGAAAATCTCCTCGGGAGGAGGGGGAGGGGGAGGCCCGTGTGACTTTAATCCTCAAATCGGAGGTTTTACTGTCACTTGGAGCTTAAAAGGAATCTTTGAAATTAAAAGAAGACAGGATGTTGACAGGAAATCTGGCCTTTTTAATCAGACCCCAAACATTTTCTCCTTGAAATTTTTACCATCTGGATGCCTAGTCCCTGCACGCGGTGGCCACGTTTAAATGGCTGTGACTGCGTTTGCAGTCTGATTCCTTTTCAGAAGGCATCTGCCTCCCTCGCTCCTTGGGGGAGACTGTAGTAAGGGGGGATCTCCACCCTCATCCTACAATTCCCAGCAGGTGCATCCTCCTGCTATCAAAAGCCCCTCTCTCACTTTAAAGGGGTTTTCTGTACAAGCCCTCTCCAAACACCAGTTTGTTTTGCATTTTGCATTTTTCCTGCATAACGAATTCAGGCTCTGCAGAGGCAGATAAACTGGGCCTGGGCCGCATTTCAGGGCCAAATTTCATACCCCAAAGGCCTCTCACATGAAGTGAATCTGGGGAGCAGTCCCACTATTATTGTTGTTGATATTATTTTTACTTAGTGACTTGGTTGCTAGGAGCATGTTGATTCCCCTTTTGCTTAAGCCAAAGGGAAGAGAGGAACTGCACCCCACAACGTAGTGCCTGGGCTCTTTCACCGCTTTCGATTATATTTAATTTTATTGAAAGGATACATTTTTCAGGACGTGGCTTAACCCGTTAATTTGGATGTGGAAGGTAGAGATTTTGTCTTCTGGCTTTTGTTGTATTGGGAGGGGGGCAGGTCTCTATTGTCTTTAAGCCTCTTCTCCACCTGGCTTTTGAGAAATCCGCAGTGCGCTTGGGAGTGAGGGGAGGTGCGGGCCCAGCCCTTCCCCTTCTTTCCCTGGCCTCCCCTCCCTCCCTAAGCTGTCCCCCTGCCCCCATGCCCTCAGGTGGTGGCGCTGGGGGACGTGCCAGATGGGACGGTGGTGACAGTGATGGCGGGCAACGATGAGAACTATTCCGCTGAGCTACGCAATGCCTCGGCTGTCATGAAGAACCAGGTGGCCAGGTTCAACGACCTTCGCTTCGTGGGCCGCAGTGGGCGAGGTAAGCAGAGGAAAGGAGTCCCTGCGCCAGCCCACCTTTGGCAACAGCAAAGGTCGGGGGGGGAAGGCAGCTGAGAGCCAGGCCTTGGGGTCCCAGCGGCAGCCCCAGAAACAGGTCTTCAGGCCCAGCTATGTCTAAAACGGCGGTGTAGAGTCCCTTAGGGTGTTACAGACTCTTTTGAAGATGTGGGGAAAGTTAGGGTCTCTTGCCAGAAAAGACACAATTTTCTCCCAGTTTCTGGGGCTTCCAAGCCTCCCCCTCTTTCCCGATTGTGCCCTGGTCTCACAAAAGGTGCTGGGAGAAAATCGTGGATTAAGAAGCTCAAAATGGGGCCTCATCATTCTTTTTTGGCAGGATGCTTACAGGCTGGTTTAGACAAATCCTTGGTCTTTGGGGCCCAAGCACCCCAGCCACTCTCCCCATGGGGGTGGCGTCTCTCCCACGCTTTGAGGCTGCCTCTCCCCAGCTGTGGTCTCCCCGAAGCCACAGTTTCGCCAGTCCTTTGAGCCTTAAGGTGGTTTAGAAAAGAAGCAAATACAGTGCAGGATGCTGAGTGTTGGAAAGCATAGCTTGAAGGCTGCCGTCTCCCACCCTAGAATCAAGGCTGGTGTGCCTCTCTGCCTGTCTGATCTTCATCGGGCAGTCTGAAGGAAGGCAGGACCAGACGCCACTATGGCTGCTGCCAGGGGATGTTGAGTGAGAGGCTGGTGGGACCTGAAACCCATCATCACTTCTGGGTGGAGAAGTCCTAGAAACCCTTCCCCGGGCAAAATGGAGACTTGAGGGCTCGCTGGCCCTTTAAGACCAGCCGGCTGTAAAGTGGGGAGTGCCCTTCCCAAGCTCCAGCCTGCCCCTCCAGCTTGTTAAGAAAGTCAGCTAGGTTCCCCCTACTTCCAGTCTCAACAGAGGCTGAGGCAGAATTGTACTTTTCATCACCAATAAACAAGACCTTCTTAAGGTTTTAGTTCCCTCTGAGCCGCCAGTCCTGCTTGGAGACGGGCATCTGGGCACCATTTTTTCCTCTCCAGCCGTTCAATGTATACATACAAATGTCAAACATATTTTGACTTTTCAGCATTAATTAAAACCAGGGCATTATTTGCATGTAATAACTGTTTACTTGTTACTTTTTATGAAACTGAAATAGTTTACATTCTTTCAAACATTTCCTGTTCCTGTTGGCTCCCTTCCCCACGCACAGATTTCTTTCAAACGTTGCCCTTAACTGGTTGCAGGTTGATGGATGGAAAATGTTTGCTTTTATGAATTAAGCTTTCATTGCTGCTCCTAATTAGTCTCCAAGCTCCTTTTGTCATCCCCAATCTCTCAAGCCTTTTGCAACTTAATCCCAGCCCCAGCCCTGGGTAGAGAGTCTCTTGCCACTGGTCGGCGGCGGTGGCTCTTTCAGATGCAGCTGCACGGCTGGGTGGTGGCTGGGCTGCTGCCCCAGGTGGCAGTGGCGAGGGAGGCCAACTATAGCTGCAGCATAAGGGGAGGTCAGTCCTGAGAGACAAGCAGAGCATCAGGAATGGGACACCCTACTCCCCTTCTTGGGAGCTGGACTATAGAAAGAGAAGAAATGACGATTCTCTGCGTTACTGAGACCTTGTCTGGTCATTCTGCTGCTGATTTCTTGGTGGTATTTATGCTCACAGACTTGCGCCCACCCTACGAGGCCCTCGGAGAGGGAGATAGGTTCCCAAAGCATTGTTTAGCAACAGTGTGCTCTTGGGGTGGGCATGGCTGAGGCTGGGATCGTGGCTCTGGGAGATACAGGAGACTGAGGTTATAAACCATCCTCCCAGCCTTTCTTTCACCTGACTCAGTGGCCCTGGGAGACAGAAGAAGCCTGAGTGGGAGTTCCAGTGCCTGTGGAAATTGACCAGATTTTCAGACCTCAGAGGCTCATAGTATTAAACAGCCTGGGCTCTACAACCAGCCTACCTGGATTTCAGTCCCAGCTCTGCCAGGGACTTGCTGGATGACATTGGGCAAATGGCTTAACCTCTCTGTGCCTCGGTTTCCTCAGCTGTAAAATGGGGATGATAATGGTACCTACCTGGTGGGATTTTGTGAGGATTAAGGAAGCTGGTACAGTGTATCAGTTGGCACATACTGAGAGCTGGATACATGTTAGAGATTTTGTTACTTCAAATGCCTGGGACTGGAGGAGATCTTTGAAGTCCCTTTGAGTGGTGACAGTCACTGATTCTCTGATTATCGTGCGGTTTGGGCGGGGGTGGGGGAAACCCAGAAGGTGTGAATTGTTGACTGGGAGAAGTGGAGGCGGCTGGCAGTGAGGAAGGAGGGCGCGGGGGTCCTGTGGCATGCAGCTGTGCATCAGCCGTGCCCATCCTGGCCGTGAGGAAATTCCCTCTGAGGACAAATCCTTGACTGACACAGACAGTTTGGGCTGCTCTAGGAGTCCGGATAGACTGGAGTTTGGGACTCAGAGCCTTTCCGTGGCTCTCTGACTTCTGCCAAGACTAAGAAGCCAGATGGAAACTTGCTTTTTATTTCTCAATCCTGTCTTAATTCTGAGAGCTTTCTATGCAAGACATACACACAATACCCCCACGGAGCTCTCACGATAAGCCTGGAGGTGTAAACCGAGGCAAGAAAGGGAAAGAAACCAAGTTATTCTCCTGCAGTGATTAGGACCCGGGTCCCTGCCCTGCCCAACACAGCGCCCCGTCTTACAACAAATTTTTTGCAACTCGCACTCTACCATCGTACAGTTGAAATGTGTAGATAACGTAATCTACCCATCTACATGCATCTTCAAAACCTGTATAATTCCATAGCTATAATGGAGAGAAAAAGGAAAAGTAACTTATAGTGATATCTCTGTTTGAATATGCAAACGTTGGAGTGAGATGACAGACGGACACTGTGAGGTGGATGGATGCTTGCACCCCAACCCTAGCCCCGTGACCCCCACAGCAGGCCAGGGGTGCATGACTCAGAGTCTGAACGCGGCGCTGCCATCAGTGACATGATTTTCTGAAATTGTGAGCAATTCTTGGCCAAATTCTGAGCGAAATTAAAAACAAAAACAAAAAAACTGTCTTCCTTCCTTGAAAATTCAGTAGATGTTAAAAGTGCACAAAAACTTTTGTCTTGTTTTATGTAAAAGTGAGTTAGGCTTATGGCTCAAAGATTCCTTATAAGCAAGTTTTTCACACTCAGGAAGAATGAATAGTTCATTGCCCTGTACGGTGCTAGACACTTGCATCCCCTTCCTGCCCCCCACATCCCACTTCTTGAGAACCATGTACCACAAATCCCCAAAATGCCCTCTAGGAGGGGCCGTGGGCTCAAGTGAAGATGAAAAGTCAGGAGTGTGGCTTCCTAAACTGTCACTAACTGGTTAGAAAGAAACTAATGTGTGGAGAGAGATTTGGGATGAGATGTGTGCATGTGGGCTTAGGGGACCGCTGGTGGGAGAGGGGTAGATTGCTTCTTAGCCTATATTGAAAAAACCCAGAAGTCTCCAGAGATGCCCTCTCCTGCTATCCACCAAGTCCCAGTGGTTGGGGCTTGTCACAAGGAACCCAGGCCTAAAGGGACTGGGACTTGCTCAAGGCCGTACTGCCAGACCTGCAGGAATGCCTGGGGCGGCTCACAGCCCCCACACGCAGCTACTGCCAGACTAAGACATCCCCCTCTGCCACCAGGGCCGGCCCTGGGAGCACCTTGATTTGCAATTCGTTGACTCCTGGCTGGTTGCAAGTTTGCCCTAGGTTCTTGCACAGAGCTGTCCACCTCCTTTGTCTTCTCAGATGTCTGCTCTAAGAGAGGGGAGAGACGGGTGGATGAGCTGTTTGGCCGCTGGTAGAGAGAGAGGTGATGGGCACTCAGGGTGACATCTTTCCCCTACCCCTGGTTCATGGGGCCCCTGCCTCCTGTGGCACCTTACACCTGCCCCTCCCTCCGTTTCATGCTTCCAGGCCCCAGCCCCTCCCTTCCTCCCTCCTCCCTCCCTCCTCTCTGTGGGTACCTGTGAGGGGTGGTGTCAGGCCTGGAAACTGGGAGGAAGCTGTTGAGGTGGGCTGGTGACCTCAGGGCTGACCTGTGGTTTGCTGCCTGGTGGGGTGGGGGCTTCTCACTTCCCAGGACTAGGTGCTTAGGGTCTGTGTGGGAGGCCAGCTCCAGGACATTCTAACCTTTCTGGCCCCTGCCTGGATACTATGTAACCTAGTCAACTTATTGCCCCCTGTGAGTCTCAGTTTTCTTATCTATAAAATGGGAGCAGTAATTTCTGCCCTTAATTCATTTAACAAACATTTATTGAGCACTTGCTATATGCCAGATGCTCTCTTAGGGGCTGGGGACACAGCAATGAACAAGACAAAAATTCTGGCCCCTGGGGAGTTTATAGTCTAGTGGAGGGAGACAATAAGATAAGTAAATAGACGGATTATTAGAAGTAAGAAGCATTAGGAGGAAATTCTAGCAGATCAAGTGGGAGTGGGAAGGTCTGTGATGCTTCAGAGTGAGTCTTAACCTTTTATCACCCCGCAGACTCCTTTGACAGTCTCAGAATGGTGTTTTTAAAGAATGAAATGAAATACAAAGGATGACAATGAACATTGATTATATTAAAACGTAGTTAGCAAGATGTTTTTAAAAATTGTGGTGAATATACTGCCTTGTTGGGGTGTTAAATAACAAGATCTAGCAAAGGGCTTGATGACGACCATAATTTTGAAGGTGTGACGAACATCAAAGATATTTAAAGAAACATGCAACGTCTGTAATGTGATACGTAAATATCTGTGACGTCTTCTGGTGACAAGGTCACAGGGACTGCTGTAATGCCTCTGTGGTTTGTTGCTTACGTTCATACTGGAGAGAGATGTTAAATTTCGGCTAGAGGTTGGGGCAATACCATTGCCTTTTTTTTTTTTTCCTATCCCAGTTCTTGGACTGGCTCGATTCTAAAAGGGATGCCAAGTTTAAATGCTCCTTTTAAAAATGACAACAACAACAAAAGTTGTCCTTTAGATAAAGTGATCAGGGAGGGCCTCACTGGGAAGATGACTTTTCAGTGGTGACCTGAAGGAAGCGAGGTGAGAAACAAAGCACTTCCTCGGGGAATGGGGCCCATCTGACTCTGGGCTGTCCACCTAAATTACCCATCCTCTAGGCGCCCTGAGGAACCAAGGAGGTGATGGGAAGGTCAGAGGCCCAGGGACTCCTGAGAGTGCCTGACTGGTTGTGGGGAGGGTCCAGGAGGAAGCCAGTAGGAGGGAGGGAGGGTCCCTGGGAGTGAGTGGGCCAGGAGCCAGAAGCCACCTGCCCGGCATTTCCTGAGACCTTCTGTACTTTCCGTTTCCAGAAACCATGGAAAGTGCCCCTGTGGTCTGAGACTGAGGGGCCAGATTGGTTTCTCTGGCCAAGGACTCCAGGTCAGGTGTGAATTGCATTTCCATCCCTGCCTCCAGGTGGCAGCTCCCAAAAATTCTTCCAGAGAGTCCCCACTCTTTCCTAGTTCGAGTCACACCTCAACTTACACCCCCTGCATCCCCCTACCCACCACCTTGGTGTGGCCCCAGCAGCCTGGCTGGTTTACTTTTGTTCTGGGGTCTCCTGTTTCTCGGGCTGGAGTGTTCACTTGCTCTCTGGACCAGCAAGTACCCAGCCTTGCACAGAGAACCATAAACTGTTGGTCCCTCCACCCCACCAAACCTTCCTCTCCCACCTGTGAAGTAGGAATTTGGAAACAAGCCTGCCTGCCTGTGAGAGTTGTTGGGAGGACTGGGACAGCCGGGACAGCAGCCCGAGCCTCTCGGGCAGCCTCCCTCTGTGCCCGCCCTGGGCCAGCCTCGGGGGACGCAGGTCCAGGGACCCTCGGCCCCTGCCCTCAGGGAGCCCCCAGACCTATAGCTGGGGTTCAGAGGTAGGAATGCTCAGAGGAAGAGCAGGGGGAACCAGGTTTGACTTGGGAATGAGTGAATCTCCCCCCAGACCCTCCCAATCTCATTCAGTCTGGAGGCTTTTTTGATAACAGAATAGGGCAAGAGACCAGGCTCCTACTTCAGTAAAGCTGCTGGGAAAATTGGGTTACCCTTTGAGAAAAAACCTTTACCTCATACCACATCAACCAGTAAACCCCAGAAGAATCAAAGAATTTAATGTCGAAGGTAGAGAGGACAGTGCTTATGGAAGGTAACCTTTAGATACTTGTGGGGAAACCTCCCTACACATCAAAACGGCGGGAGAAATCACTAACGAGAGGTGGAACTGAAAATGCAAAACAGCGCAGTGTCAGAAAGCGAAATATAACGGCCAGTGAACTAGGAAACCCATCGCCACAAACAGGACAAGGAAAGTGTTAAGCTTGATAGAATCGAGTGGTTTTTTTTAAGGCACTGAAACCTTCATAGAAAAGTATAAAGGACCATGAAGCCATACTTTGTGTTGGATTAGGCCAGGTGATAAACATATTAAAAGTTTCAATCTCGCCAGTAGTAGAACAAAGGCAATGAAGTTGGGAGCGTTGAAGAGCTCTCCCCCCGCCCCCGTGACAGGCGGGGTTACGGTGGTGCTGCCAGCCCCTGTGGGACTCCACACGCATCACGATGATTCTGTCTGGAGAGATCAGTGCCCCCACGTCTGTCTCAACCCTCTGATGCAATGAAATCACTCACTGCTTCTTGGAATCTAGTCTAAGGAAATAAGCAGAGATGTAGACAAAGATTTTTATAAACAGAAGGTCATTTTCATTTTATTTTAAATGGTAAAAAAAAAAATATTATTTTAAAAGTTTTTTCCCCTCTCAGGAATTTTGAATGGAGACTTTGGAGCCAAATGTTTATCTAAAAATAGAACAGCGTTCTGGAAATAACAGTTTTGTCTACAAATGAAATGTCTGCAGCTCCCAAATCAGTCCTTTTTCAGCCCCCGCCGCACACGCCAATAAGAAATTAGCAGCGTCGTAAATACCCGAGAGTAAGGAGATGGATAAATAAAAGATGAGGCTTCCGTGAGTTGAAATATTTTGCCACCATTAAAAATGAAATTTATGAAGAATTTTTAATGACATAATGATATGATGTTAAATGAACAAGAAAGAGGGTACGGAAATTTTATTTTACTATCATTGCAACTGTGTAAAAACACAGTCACCTGAAAAAGGTTGCAGTAGAGAACATTCAAATGTTAATAGTGTTTTTTTCTGGCTAGTGTAACTACGGGTGATTTTTTTCTTCTATTTTATATTTTCTGTGTTCTTAAAATTTTCTATAAAGATCACGAATTACTTCCATAAAAAAACAGTATGTACCCATCCTAGCCCCCCATCCCTATATCGTGAGGATCTCTGAATAGAAGGATCAGCACAAAGGCCAAGAAGCAGGGAGGAAATAAGCCAAGGTGGCCAGAGCTTGGGGGGTGATAAGCTCTTGCGGAAAGGGATAAAGTTGGGGCCAGACCTCCTGGAGCCTTGAATGCCAGCCCCAGCAGCTTGAATTTCAGCCAGAGCCCTATCTTCTGCCCAGGTTAAAGGAGAGAGACTTGCCCCTTCTCAAAGGCTGGGGCAATGTTGTGAATGGCTCCAGGTGCCAACCTCCTGCCTTTATTTCCCACTCTCGCCAGGGAAGAGTTTCACACTGACCATCACTGTGTTCACCAACCCCACCCAAGTGGCCACCTACCACCGAGCCATCAAGGTGACCGTGGATGGACCCCGGGAGCCCAGACGTAAGTGCCAGAGCCACTGAGCCCCCAGGGGTTGGGGAAGGAGGAGGGCTGTGGGGGAGGCAGGGGTGGTAGGGCAGCAGCCGAGGTCAAACAGAGGGCACTCTTGTGTGGATTGTGGTCCTCTGCTCAACAACTGCCCCCCCTCCCAACT